ACCAAAAACCCTTTGAAATCCGGATGAACGAATGAACGAGAACGTGGAGATGAAGTAGTGACAGACCCTTCATTTAACTGGGGGGAAGAGGGAAGTTTACGACGGTGAAGGTCCCCAGGCAGAGCCCGCTCGTCCTTCTAGTAAAGGCAGGTTAAAGAGAAGGCAAGACGTTTGAAAGTGAAGGAGGCGGAGATATGAAAATTAGAGCGAGGAGAAAATTTGAGCAGAGGGTCGAACTGCATTCGACTTGAATTTTTATTCCGGCATTGACCTCAGGAAGTTGGCATTTGATAAAATTTTGTGGTTCGTATGCTGGGGGTGGGCAAATTATGGTGGGATTTTGTAATTGATAATGGCAAGTCTGTACGAGAGTAATGCAGAAAGAAAGGAATTCGGGAGGAGACCAAGAAAATTATAACCCTGCTGCAAGTCGTCATTCACGTTTTACTTGATGAAATTAATCATTACATTTCGCCCATCTCGTGGTTCGAGCCGTGGCTACAGTTTCACCAGGTATGCAACCAGTCGAGTTATGACGGCCAAAAGCTCGAAGTTTTTGGCTGTTTGTGGAACAACCAAACAATTCTATCTAATAATGTAACACGTATTAAAAAAGCAAAATGTATTTCAGAAAAGGCTTCAGGTGCAAGGTTTTTCTCAGGTGCATAGAAGTAAACAACCTATAAAATGATGAATAGATGGAACAACAATTCTTATAATCTAGAAATAGACCTGACCAAGACCGTATTATCACATTTCCAGTCCTAAGACCAAATTCCCATCTCTTACTCAGCAAGTGACTGGTCTCGGAATAATAAAGTTGATTTTGTAACGAAGGCTAGCGTTCCAGAAAATGACCAATGAACATCAATTACCTTGCGAAAGGCATGATGCCGATGCAATTACCAAGATTCATCGTGTTCTGGAGGAATTGACAGCAGAGCTGAAGAACGCCTAGCACACACAAGTAGTCGGACGCTACGAGCAGCTGACGCACGTTTCCACAATTAATGTCCACCTTCCTTGTGTAAACGTAGTCCAATATCTGAGCCATGATATCCGAGCTGACTCCGTGCAGGAGAACGTCAGTCTGCTCGTGGGCATGTAGTGTCGTGGTGAAGAGGTTCCTGAAACGTCACGAAGCAGCCGTTAATATACACTCACAGGGCTTCTGCTCCCTTGACGCGGTCTGAGTTTTAGGAAGTGCTGACAGAAATTCGTAACAGAAAAACATTAATTTTATTACTGTTAATAATTAACGTAGTCAAAAAGCAATGAATAATTTTGTTAAATTCTGTTGTGTCATTAATGTATTTCCATTTTCGGTGAATCCTTTTCATACGTTGTATGCGCACGCACGCACGCACACATAGATCGATATATCGAAGGATTTTAGGTTCTCGCGGAGGTGAGTACGAAGAAGGCTGACAGACTTGACGGCGCTACAAACGAGCAGACAGCCGTCTTGGTAATGGATGATTTAGTGGCATCGCATATATCAGCATATATCTCTGGCTTTGCATTGCAATGATAGATCATTATTGTACAAAGCGAAGGCCCCCTGAATGAGTGTTCTGTCATAAAACCCCTTGCCGATAAACAATTGAAGATATATTTTAGTGTTTGTACATTGAGGCAACTGCCCCATAACCAGGGAGTAACATTACACAGCGCAACAATCCACCGCCGTGAGAACCTGACGTCTCACCATAATAGACAAATTACAACTTATAAATAGTCATGTACAAAAAAATTATATCAAATTTCACTTTCTATATGATGTCTGCTACGTTATGAAGTCCCGTTATGTCCTAATTTCACGCGTTTACAACTTAAACATTAAATACACAAACCTGAAATATTCGTTACGCATCGAGAGAATCACTCATGAAAAACGCCGCCATCTTCCAAACCTCAAGACCGCGTCACACAATAGGTCCATCTGTCTCAAGTCATTCAGAGAGGACAACGCTTCGGTGCACATGCACCTGCTATCTTGCAAAGAACAGCAGCTTTGTTGCTCTAACTCCATTTCCTGAAAAATAGTAGTCAATTGTTGTAACGGGATTTTTATCTTATCATTGACTTGCCTGCTTATCAACTGTGAGTGTATGACAACATGGCATTGAGAAGAATATTTGGTCCTACCTGAGAATACGTAAAATTCCACAAAGTGGATCTTTGTAATTGGCATTTTTTCTCAGGTTATAAAATCAAGGATGATGAGATGGGTGAGGCATGTAGTACAAACACAAGAGACAAGCAATCCAACGTTTCTTTCGGAAAACCCGAAAGGAAGAGACTATTTCGGAAACCCAAATACTGGTATGATGATAATATTAAAATTGACACTAGGTAAATGCATTTGAGGATACGGACTGACTTCATATGCTTCAGGATATGGTCCAGGTCCGGGGTCTGTAGTAATCTTGGTAATCAAATATCGGCTTCCTTAAAAGCGAAACATTTGATTAAATGCGCTGCTTTTAGATTCTCAAGCAGGACGTGGCTCCGTGGCGTCAGTTTGTTTGCTAGTTATAGAAATGCCTATCGAGATTGAATACGATTTTAGCAATCGCTAAACAGAACCGCGAAGCTCTACATGTGAAAAATAGATGCAATATCATGTAATACGTCACGTGTTTCATTGTTCACCCCAGGTGAAAATTTTATAGAGTGTGAAGTATCAATGCGATACATTTTTATTAATATTCTAGGCTACTGAACACATCTTACACTTTAAAATTTTAAATTGTTAATTATTTACTAGAACATTATTTTACTATAAATGATGCCGTAAACTAATAGAAGTCAGTCTGGTTTAATTTGAAATTGTATAAGAAGAAATATGAGGTTAATTTTCTTACAATTGTTCATAAGTATCAATGAAAGCATGTAAATATGTTGAAAAATGATAATAACATTAAAATTCAGGGTATACGCAAAAGAATGGCGCGGTTTCAAATTTGGAAAGCTGGTTGTTACCCCAACTGAATACCAATTATGACGATTACATTCTACAACTGGACGGAGCTCCCCCCCATTTTCACTGGAATTTACGAGTACTTCTCAATCGTGTTTTTCCACAGCGCTGGATCGGACGTGCTGCTGCAAATGGAGACTACAACCTTCTCCCTTGGCCACCCCGTTCACCAGATCTTACACCGTTCGATTTCTTTCCTTGGGGGTTCGTTAAAGACAGCGTTTATGTACCACCATTGCCCACGTCCATCCATGAACTTCATGCCCAGATAACGCATGCACTGCGGGCCGGAGAGAACTCGATGACCACCCGCAATAAATAATTTAATTAAAAATGAAATGCAGAGAGTGGAAGACAGTATTCAAAATGTCTTAATAACTCACATAACTTACCTTATATTTATTCTGAATAGTTTTAACAGCACAAAAGTATGTTGTCTACTACGCGTTTTATCTACAAGCGATTCACAGCTCTGTTCTTTCCACACTAACAAAGGCCGATTGTTGACGCCAATATATACCAATACAACAATGCCGACGAAACCTATGACGCAACAATTAGTAAATGTGTGGAATGCAATACGGTTTATACAGGATATTATACTGCATGTATAAGAAATGAGCCTTACGGCATGCTCAGCCAATATTGTTGCAGGTGCGGTTTAGAAATTCTAATACTTTTTCTTGCATTGTTGCAGACGCAGGTGTTCGTATAAAGCTGACCATTGTCGATCCATATTTCCTCATTGTTGGTAATTGAAAAAATACAAACTGTATTCTTCTTCTTCCCTGGCGCTACATTTCAAAGTTGAACCTTGGCCTTCGTCCACGATCTGCAACCATAGCCTCTCGCACTTTCCCGTTAGCTTGAAGTTTCGAAACAATTATTTTTTAAGGAAGCTTGTCGATGGTCGTCCTGAACGCTCATCGTCGTCGACAGGGAGTGATTTTTTCTGTCAGGTTTGTCTCCCTTAGCTGGCCAGTCCCAATTTGTAAGCGTCGGGAACTCGCTTGTTTGTCCTTGCAACACAGCCGTAAAAACGTTGCCTGGGATTCATGACTTGGACGTGCATGCATCGGACTAGGTAGGAATGAATGGCATTTCCCGATTTTTAATGATACATATCTGCCAGCAGGATATGTACTCTCGAGGCCACATACTAACACTTTGGCTCTAACAAAAGAATTACTCTGTTATCATTTCGTCCCATTCCATCTTAAATGTAAAAAGTCAATTTTTAGTATTTAGTGTTTTCTCTATACGGAAATTTAAAAATAATGAGAAGAGGCTTGAAAAAAAATTGTAATTTCATTTTCCCTTATTTAAAAATAACGTCGTGTTTTTTATACTTGATTAATTTTAAAGACCAATTTTTAGGGGTCCGGGTGCTGTTCATCAAACCTCACCTGCGCAAAGGAAAATGTTTCCGGGGGGTGGGGGGGCATGTGGCCAGCGGGACTAATGTTGTGCAGTCTGGTATAGACAATGGCAGTGTATTTGCCTCTGAACTTGGCCGATCTCTCTTTTCAAGGAAGGTTTGTGCGTCTGAAATCCTAATCTCATTTTCTTTCTAATTCCTGTCACAACTGAAACTTAAATCGCTCCTTATTTTTAAATTGTAACAAACCGAGTCATGGCGGTATAACCATCCATGGAGGGTGGGGAAAATGCCACATCTTAACGCCTGTCTAGGGGCTATAGGGCAGCAACCCTGCTACTGGACTTGCCCTGCGACTGGCTGGTAACCAATGCAGGGGACTTCCAATTGATTGCTCGAAAATCTCATGAAGAAATGCGGACGGATTTTACTTACGACGACGGTGATTAAGGGCTGAAAAGTTGCAATGTGGAATGTTCGGGGTGTTACTAACAAAGAAGATAATTTAGAATTGGAAATGGAAAGTAGCAAAATAGATATCGCAAAAAGATATATAAAGGCCCAAAAGAATTAAGAAAGTTTATAATGATTAACTCGGGGGTGCCAGAGGAAAACTGGGTATCATCAAGAGTTGCAATATTTGTTAGAAAAGATCTGAAAAATTGAGTGCTGAATTACGAATGGTTTTCCCCAAGAATTGTAGAAATCGGAATAAAATTTTGACATAAACTGTGTCAGTTATTTGTATTTCATGCGGCATTGGAAGGAAAAGATTTAGAAACAGCAGAATTTTACAACGAAATTCAAGAAGTGATTGAAGGCGATTTTAATGAAATATTTGCAAACCAATCTGTTTGTGGATGCACTGGCACAGAAGGAGAACCAATCATAAATAATAAGAGGAGATTACTAATGGACTTCTGTCTCTTCAACAATTTGAAGACAACAAATTCCTTCTTCAGACACAAGAAAAGAACACAATATACGTGGGAAGCAAGAGGGCTAAAGTCTGTAATAGATTATAGTACGGTTAATGAAAAACTGAAACGAAACAGAACAGACTGTGGAGTTTTCAGAGGAAGTGAAATTGACGGTGACCACTCTTTGGTTTAAGGTAGATTTAAATTCTGTCGATACTCTCAATCATCGTAAATTTACAATTCAGATGCTCATATAATACCATTTATTTTGTACCAGAAAATAAGCCATCAAGAATGCAGCGTAGAGCAGCAAACAGTGAATATTTGTTCTATAGAATGGTTATCTAATTCTTTACAAACCTTTCAATCCTTCAAGAGTTATCTGAGGTTATAAAAACCAAAAACAGTAATTTTAAAGCCAACCAGCAAATTAAAACAAATATCTCAACATACATCACAGGTTGTACATTGCACTGATTGACAAGTTCGTATTTTGAAATCAGAGCCTCCAAAATCTATTTGTTCTGCCAACAATCAGTTCCCGATAAACAACTTAAAAAATAAGCCGACGTTTCTACTTTTTGTCGAAATAGTGGCAGGGGGGCTTGCTTGTAACAAGACTGTTGGAAAACATTAAAATTGGTTCAAGGTTTTAATACATTTCTTGTTTTCAAGAACACATCGCATCTTTATTTAAATCACAAACACAATTAACGGATGCAGAAATTCTTCGTTGAGATGTTGTGTGACCCCACTGAGAATTTTTGCCTGCTGTCCTTTATCACGAAGAAAGTATGTCATTATACACCGTGTTTCAAAAGTAGCTTTACAACTTTGCAGGAGAATATAAATTTATTTAACGGACGTGCGTAATATTTTTAAATGCACAAATTTAGCCAAACTCATCGAGTTTCATGCACATAAACTGTACCCCCTCATTACCTGGGACCAACCAACCAACCAACCAAAAAGCTAACTGAGGGCGGAGTCCTGTGCAAGCGCAAGCGTCGTCCCTTCCTAGGTGACACCATTCCTGCGCACAAGACGCATTGCTGGAAATGGTACACGGTCTTAAACTAAAAACGTAAATTTTGCTAACGTTAACAGGGTTTCTTCGTGGCGGGAGCCTCGACCATTCAAACTGGGATCTGTACACGTCTTGAGCAAAACACTATATGTCTCTTTATACTGTTTGTACCAGACACGTATCGATGGTCTTGGTGGCGGTGTCTTGTGATATGTTATTCGGAGCTGTGTATCCGATTTCGTTTTGATAAGCCACTCCAAGCACTATGCCTTCTCCTGCGGGTTCTTGGCGAGTGTTCTGATTCACAAAGACGGTTGTAGTGCAGTGGAAAACAACGGGTGCTACTATCTGCCGGGAACTCGGTGAAACGTTGAGAGTTTCTCTCGCAGATGACGTGCAGACAGTATGTCTATGTCTTTTATGAAAGGTTTTGTACGCGAGTAATGTAGTAAAGATAATTTATATACACTCTGTATTTTCGTTTTACCATTCATGATATATTACAAACTGAAACAAGATTTAGCCGTGTCGTGTTGCCTATTATGCAGAATAATAGAGAAAATTTGTCATTACGGGGTTCATTATTTGTGCTGTTCGGCAGATATTGGAATAATATGGGCGTAACATCGACCTGCGAGGCAAGGCAAGGCATGGCAGGGAAGGGTAGAGCAGGGCAAGGTAGGGCAGGGCAGGGCAGGGCAGTTCCGGGTAGGGCAGAGTAGGTCAAGAAAGGGCAAGGCAAGAGAATTTAAAGCAACGCAGGGCAAGGCAAATCAGGGCAGGCAGGGCAGTGCCGTGCACGGCAGGGCAAGGCGGGGCAAGACATGGCAAGGCACACACAAGGCAAGGCAAAGCATGGCAAGGCAAGGAAAAACAAGGCAAGCAAGGCAATGCAAAGCAAGTAAAGGCAAGGCAATACAAGGCAAGGAAATGCAAGGCAGCGCAAGACAAAGCAGGGCAGGGCAGTGCAAGGCAAGGCAAAGGAAGGCAAGGCAAGGCAATGCAAGGCAGGGCAGGGCAGGGTAGGGCAGGGCAGGGTAGAGCAGGGCAAGGCAGGGCAGGGCAGGGCAGGTAAGGACATGGCAAGGCACACACAAGGCAAGGCAAAGCATGGCAAGGCAAGGAAAAACAAGGCAAGCAAGGCAATGCAAAGCAAGTAAAGGCAAGGCAATACAAGGCAAGGAAATGCAAGGCAGCGCAAGACAAAGCAGGGCAGGGCAGTGCAAGGCAAGGCAAAGGAAGGCAAGGCAAGGCAATGCAAGGCAGGGCAGGGCAGGGTAGGGCAGGGCAGGGTAGAGCAGGGCTAGGCAGGGCAGGGCAGGGCAGGTAAGGACAGGGAAGTTCCGGAAAGGGCAGAGCAGGTCAAGGAAGGGCAACGCAAGAGAATTCAAGGCAACGCAGGGCAAGGCAGATCAGGGCAGGCAGGGCAGTGCCGTGCACGGTAGGGCAAGGCGGGGCTAGACAGGGCAAGGCAACACAAGGCAAGGCAAAGCAAGGCAAGGCAAGGCAAAGCAGGGCAGGGCAAAGCAGAGCAAGGTAAGGCAAGGCAAGGCAAAGCAGGGCAGGGCAAAGCAGAGCAAGGTAAGGCAAGGCAAGGCAAAGCAGGGCAGGGCAAAGCAGAGCAAGGTAAGGCAAGGCAAGGCAAAGCAGGGCAGGGCAAAGCAGAGCAAGGTAAGGCAAGGCAAGGCAAAGCAGGGCAGGGCAAAGCAGAGCAAGGTAAGGCAAGGCAAGGCAAAGCAGGGCAGGGCAAAGCAGAGCAAGGTAAGGCAAGGCAAGGCAAAGCAGGGCAGGGCAAAGCAGAGCAAGGTAAGGCAAGGCAAGGCAAAGCAGGGCAGGGCAAAGCAGAGCAAGGTAAGGCAAGGCAAGGCAAAGCAGGGCAGGGCAAAGCAGAGCAAGGTAAGGCAAGGCAAGGCAAAGCAGGGCAGGGCAAAGCAGAGCAAGGTAAGGCAAGGCAAGGCAAAGCAGGGCAGGGCAAAGCAGAGCAAGGTAAGGCAAGGCAAGGCAAAGCAGGGCAGGGCAAAGCAGAGCAAGGTAAGGCAAGGCAAGGCAAAGCAGGGCAGGGCAAAGCAGAGCAAGGTAAGGCAAGGCAAGGCAAAGCAGGGCAGGGCAAAGCAGAGCAAGGTAAGGCAAGGCAAGGCAAAGCAGGGCAGGGCAAAGCAGAGCAAGGTAAGGCAAGGCAAGGCAAAGCAGGGCAGGGCAAAGCAGAGCAAGGTAAGGCAAGGCAAGGCAAAGCAGGGCAGGGCAAAGCAGAGCAAGGTAAGGCAAGGCAAGGCAAAGCAGGGCAGGGCAAAGCAGAGCAAGGTAAGGCAAGGCAAGGCAAAGCAGGGCAGGGCAAAGCAGAGCAAGGT